CCTCCCTGTTGTCTGCTCATGGGCTGTGCGTGTATGCGCGTAAGTCCTCGCTCCTGTCCCCTGTCCCCGTCCCTCTGAGGCCTGTCAGTCTCTTCCAAGCGTCCATGCCTCTGGGTCTGTTTTATTCATCAGTTTATTTTGTTCATTAGATTCGTGTTTCTTGGTTTCAGAGAGAGGAAGGGACAGGGAGAGAGAGAAACATCAACCATGAGAGTCGTCGATCGGCTGCCTCCCGCACGTCCCCCCGTGGGGATCGAGCCCGCAGCCCGGGCACGTGTCCTGAGCGGGAATCGGACCCCGATCTCCTGGATCCTAGGTGGACGCTCAGCCCCTGAGCCGTGCCAGCCCAGCTGGCATTGCTTTCTAATCAGTGTCTTCTCCACCTAAATTAGCTCAGTATAGGACTCTGGGATAAGCGGGAGGGGGAAAACCCCATAACCTTTTTTTGCTTTTCAGGAAAAATGCATTTCAGTTGCCGGGGTCCTTCTGCACGCTTCTGATTTCAGCTGTCGCTGAGTGGGCTGTGCGAAAACAAGGTGGTGGTTACCACCCAGCTGAGTTGGGGCCTGACAGGCGTCCTCCATGGTCTGTCCTGCCCCTGATGGGCCCTGTACTAATTGTGGTTCAATTTTGAAGGTCGCCAAGTTACCCTCCCCCTGGCTGCGGCAAAAGCAAATCCAAGCTGAAACCCGAGCAAGACGGCATCTCCAAAACGCACAAGCTGCTGCGCAGGACTTGCTCAGGCACGGGCAAGGCCGAGGAGGCCTGTGCCACTAAGACGCACCGGACCTTCGGCCGCTCCCTGTCCAGCGACCCCAGGGCCGAGCAGGCGGTGACCACCCTCAAGTCGCACAAACTCTTGGCCCGGCCCTGCCCGGCCGCCGCCAAGCAGGAGGACTGCGTCCCTCTCAAGCCGCACAAGCTATTGACTCGGTCCTGCTCCGGGGACCCTCGCTGCGAGCACGGCGGCCCCGGCCTGAAGCCCCACAAGCTGCTGAGCAGGTCTTACTCCAGCAGCCTGCGCGTGGAGGAGCTCTACGGCCTGCGAGCCCACAAGCTGCTCGGCAAGGGCCCCGCCAGCGCGCCCCGGTCGCCCCGGGCCGAGCCCTTCTCGGAGCCCAGCTCGGAGGGCCGCAGGCTGTCCCTCACCTCAGGGCTCATGGGCATCCTGACCCCGTCCTGCTCGCCGTCCCAGCCCGCTGTGCGTAACCGTTTCCACCCCCGGGGCTTCAGGGCTAAGCTCAGGTGCTCAGGACAGGTGTCTAGAGATCGGCAGGGCGCTCGCTGGGAGAGGAAAGAAGCAAGGTTTTGCGTTTTTAACTTACTGGTTTGGGTAAATATTACGTTGCCCGCCAGACGTTTGCCGCTGGTACTGGAATGTTCGTTTTGGTTCTCAAAAAAAAAAACTGTAGTGATTGATTTGAGGTCCAGGCCAAATGGTAATGAGAGCTACTGAAAATGGAAAGAAGTCAGCGGGGTTCGCAGAGCATCCCCTTAAGCAAGCTGCAATCCTAACGCTTCATTCAGTAGGTTCACCTGGTCGCTAGTTTTCTCACATACTAGTGAAGGACAAGGCTGTCTGGTAATTAACTCTACGGTAATGTCCTTCCTGTTAGCCCAGGAGCTAACCTTTGCCGCGAACAGCGTCGGTGGACGGCTGCACCCCTGCCTCAGCTGCAGCTGCTCTCGGTGCTGTGAATCCGGCCACTTTATCCTGAAGCTGTTCTGGGGGGAGAGGGGCCTGGGAGGTGAAAGTATCAAAGCCCAAGTACGCCGGGTGGTATTTATTGGGAGTCAGTCTTACACAAAACGTACCTCTGGAGTGGTTGCGTCATAGCCCGTTTCAGATGAGGAAGCAGACGTACCTTGTGTACGTAATTTACATAAAATAGCTGGTACGTGTTTTGTTTGCTTTGGGTAAGCATGAGAGTGTCTCTTGGGTGGACCGTATTTAGCTCTTCACCGTTGATAGGGATGCCCCTTGAAATAGATGAAGTTGCAAAATGGAAGAAGATACTAGTTTTAGAAAGTTGTGTTTCTGGTATAAAGCTATTTCTCAAATTGTAAATTTTGCCATAAAATTCTCTTTGTGTTAAAAAATGTATTTGACTATTTTGATAATTTTACGTAGACATCCCTTAAAGCGCATTTCTCACCAAAGCGAGGTATTAGGACATGTAGAAAATCGTGTCGAAGAGCCACATGAAAGGCTGCCTTAGTGTCCTCCGCATGGCTGAGCTGACGCATAACGTAACAGCTCGGGGTTGGACGTGTTTCAGCGCCCGTCCTATGTGTCTTCGGAGAAATAATTCTGTGTCACTGTAAAATAAGGTTGGAACACTCTGAGGAGGTGGGAGCATTTGACGATGAGCCGTGGAGCAAGTAGGTTTTTGCGATTAGGTAAAGGTGCCCATCGTTTTCACTGGGAGGTCAGGAAGGAAGAATATCCATGTAGTGCAGACAGAGGTCGCAGGGGCCATGGCAGAACCCGCTGTAGTTACAGAGGCTCTGCCTCCCGATGTCCTGTCAGCCGCTGAACTCCTGTTACAGGCGATCTTAGACCACATCGATATTCATTCAGGGTTGCACAAAATAAAAGGCCATAATTTACATATTTCCCCATTTAAACAATCGTTCTTTTATTTTGCCTTTTTTTAGCCAAATGGTGCCAAATGCGCTCCAGTGCGAGACCGCGGCTTCCTCGTGCAGGTAGGAGCCAAGAAGCCAGCCGCTGGAGAAACGCTTCGGTGTTAAGTGGGTGCTCCAGTCACTTGCGAGCCTGACCTATTATGTCTTGGTGTCGTTTCATTCAGACGATCGAGTTTGCTGAGCAGCGGATCCCCGTCTTGAACGAGTACTGTGTGGTTTGCGACGAGCGACACGTCTTTCAGAACGGCCCCATGCTCAGGGTCAGTTCTCGCGGGGAGAATGTCAGTGTTGGCGTAGAATGTGGGTGAAAGGGGTTCAGGTATAGAAGTAAATAAGCAAATAACTGCATTTACAGTAAGTACGCCTTGTTGAGCAAACTATTTAATAGAGTGGTATATGACTAGTGAGTTACTGTTTTTAAAGGAATCCAAGCAAGAGCAAGTCGTGTTATGTTAGGAAAATATTTTTTATTGTATTTCCTGAATGTGCCTATGTGTCAGCTCTCTTTCCACCCATTTATCTATGTCTCTCATAGATCATTTATGTCATGCCGATGTAGATGCATATGGAGAGAGAGAGAGAAATATAGATGTGTATTTATGTATATATATAAACTTGTAAACAGTGTTTTTTCAAAGCCACACAAATTAAGATGCTTACTATAGAGCGGAGAGGGTCGTCTTTATTCCAGTTAGAAGAGGAATATAGAAGCATGCAGAAAATCAGAATAAACTTTCAAAAAAATGCCAACTCACTGACACATTCAGGGCGTGACTGAGGGAGCATAGAAACATATAATTTGCTATTTTAATGTGTACAGTTTACTGCTTGTCAGTATATTCACAGTGTCGTAGAGCCATTACCACTCTAATTCCAGAACGTTTCCATCACCCACAAAAGAAACCCCGTAACCGCTAGTGGTCACTCCCAGCTCCCCCTCCCCCATCCCCTGCCAACCGCTAATCTACTTCCTATCTCTGAATTTGCCTGTTCTGGACATTTCATGTAAATGGAACCATACATTATGTGGCTTTTTGTTTTGGGCTTCTCTGACTTAATGTTTTCAAGGTTCATCCATGTAACATGTATCTGTGCTTGATTCCTCTATATGGTGGAATCATGTTACATTATATGGATGCACGAGATATGTTTACGCATTTTTGGTTAATGGAATTACTGGGATATATGTTAACACTGTTTAATTTTTTGAGGAACCACCCAACTTTTTTTGTCATTTTATATTCTTAACAACAGAGGACGATGGTTCCAATTTCTCCAAGTCTTCACCAACATTTGTCATTTGCTGTTGTGTTGGGTTTTTTCAATTATAGCCATAATTATTTAGAAATGCCAGAATGCTCCAGTTTTCTCTTTTGCAAAGTTTATAAATGTCATTCTCAGGTTTGAATTCCGATGTGCAACACTTTCTTTCGATCTGCATAAAACTCACAGTAACGTGAGGAGGGCTGTTCAGAGATGCCCGACCTCCCAGTTTGGCAGCGAAGTTTGACTCTTTAGCAGAAAACCAAACCCAAACCCGACGATTGGTTCTCTATACTTGGAAACCAACCCGAGTGTTAACACGGCAGCTGTTAGAACGGTGACCTCGTTCGCTCCTCCGGCCATGCGCGGGTCCCAGATCACTGCGCTGCGTGGCGTGGTCAGTCCTGGGAGTCCGTCCTCACCACTCGAGGATGATGCCCAGTCCAGCTAAGGCAAAGTCAGCTGAGAAACCCGAGAACCTAATTTTTGTGTATCCAACTTGACGGTGGCCTCAGACAAATATTCATCCCTAAGGTGCTTGTTTTCAGAGTGAAATTAATAATACCCGTTAAGGGTTGTGATCATAACGAGTGTATGGTTACCTGGCAAGAGTATTGAAAACAGAACCTCTGTGTCTGTTACTTCCTCAGTGAACTTGGGGTAACTGGCACATGAATTAAAACCCGGGACCCCTAGTGATTCCCAGGGTTCACTTTCTCCCTGATTCTCACTTGCGTACAGTTTCACAGACACCAGTGTTAGTGTGTGACACTGTAGTAAACGTGCCACCAATGGTTGCTATTATTGTTTCAGACCATACGGTGCCGGAGAAAGTTAACAAAACAAAAGAAACAACCCAATGTTAGTGGGGGAAATTGAGGCTCAAACACACAGGACTTAGGTCACACACACAAAATAGAAGCTTAAGAGTGGATTAAACACTCAAATAAAAGAAATAGAAATTGCACAGTCTGCTCTCTGCATATACAGATACATACCAAATAGTGTGCATTGCTTGAGTCTGGATGAACTTTCCCCATTAATTTCCTCCCCAAGGAAGCTTTTCCCGATGTTTCTGAAATGGAATCAAACTGCACATTTCAGGCTGACAAAGGAAATATATCAATTCCGCCCCCCCTGAAATCCTCTTAGGGGAACGTCAGCCAGACGCCTGTGTGATTGGTCATGCTCTGTGTCCACAGAGCCGCCCCAGGAGCGTCCTTTGTGTCCCACAGGGGCCGCACGTCCCCCTGGTTGCCCGGTAGGCCAGTGGTCTGCTGGAAGGAGCCGCGTGGGGACGGCCGCGCTAACAAATGCCTCTCTGCCGAGCGGCGGCGCCGTGATTGCCTCGCGCTAGGCGTCATCAGCTGCCCAATGCAGTGTGACTCAGGAGATAAGATAAATCAAACAGATGACACTGTATTGGATTTGAAAGATGAGAGCTGTTCCGAAGCCATCACACAGTGTATATTTTAGTGCCGTTGACTTCAGAAGGTTATTGAAGTCAAAAATCTTCGTGACAAAACCAATCTCCCAAGAGCTGGGGAGCAAGTGAGCAGAGTCGTGCTTCTTTCTTCCAAAGAAAATTACTGGGAATAGGTGGGATTCTCCTTCGTTTATTCGCTTTGCACAGGCTGGGGGTTTAACCTTGTTCTTTCGTCTGTCACCAGCGTAGGGGTCGGCCTCCTTATACAGCTCACGTGTAAGTGTTTACTACGCAGGAGAGAGATTTTTCAGTTTAAGAATATTTTTATCTGATGCTAAATCATTCCTAGTGCAAGTGCCTACAACTCACTGAAAAGGATTTTTATTTATGTTTTTATTTCAGAGAGAGGAAGGGGGGGGAGAGAGAGAGAAACATCAATGAGGAGAGTCATTGATCGGCCGCCTCCTGCACGCCCCCTGCTGGGGATGGAGCCTGTGCCCTGACCGGGAATCGAACCCTGACCTCCTGGTTCATGGGTCGGCGCTCAACCCCTGAGCCACGCCGGCCGGGCTGAAACGAATTTCCTAACGACGTTCTTGACTTTATGTCAGTCAGTGGCTATTTACCAATTGTGACCTCCATACAGAAATTATTTTTAGGTAAAGGGATACAATTCCTTTCTTTCTAACACTCTAAAACTCTGCATTTTCCATTCATTAAATGTCACGTCATAAGCTTCGTTGAGGAACTGGAAGGTGGGCTAAGTGGCTGTCATTGCTCCCCCCCCGCAGCCCACCGTGTGCGAGCGCGAGCTGTGCGTGTTTGCTTTCCAAACCCTGGGGGTGATGAACGAGGCTGCCGACGAGATCGCCACCGGGGCTCAGGTAAGTGAAAACTAAAAAAAAGTTAAGGGAGTCCGGGCCATCCATATACAAAAACATGCTATGCTATCCTATAATATTTTAACAAAACACAGTAGTGGCCGATTACCCACAGAATACGTCAAGTTATAAGTACATTTGTTGAAGGAGGTATCACATCAGGTTGTAAAATAAAAATGATTTGTTGAGTGGTGTGGGAAGAGATGACCTGCGGCCTGGGGGGAGTCAGTTTAGCTCTTTACTTTGGACTGTGTGTAAAACAGATTCCAAATGGCTTGAAGATCAGTTTTGTTCAAAAATGTTACACTCAAAGCAGAGGAGGTAAAACTGAGCGTGCGTGGCCTTGGTGGCGCCCAGCGTAATGCGTTTGTGCAGCGGTGGGCCTTAGATGAAGCCGTCCAGACGGGCTTCCTGTTTGTTCCTTGAAGAGACAGTGAGCCTTTAAGCTGAACATGAAGTTTATTTTGTCACAAACCTGATTACATGAAAACGCATAGAAATGGGAAAAGCTATGAAGGCGTCGTAACAATAGTAGATGGAGTGAATGCATGATTCACAAATATGGACCCGTACTTCGTGAAGAAACATGAGAAAAATAGTGTCGCTAAAAATCGTATCAGTCTCTCGTTTATAGAACTCACAGAGATAGGCGGGGAAAATGATTGTGCAGCAGACCTACTGTCATTTTTTCAACAAGTACCGAAGGCCGGCTGTGTGACAAACAGGCCTCCCCCGGGAGGAGGGCACACGGTCCATACAGGCAGCCCCGGCCGGGGACTGAGGCGCAGTCCCTTAAGCTGACTGTCGCACTGATTAACTGAACTAATATGATGGAACATCAAGGACAGTATTTGTGATAGGATGAGTTTTAAATGAAAGGTAATGCAAACAGTAGACCAGGGACCCTGTATGATGCGGAAAAATGATGCCGTGACTGAGATAAAGTTCAAACATAAACCTCGGTATCGCCCTACACCCACATGCTTATATTTGTGTCTTAAAGGCACTGAGAATCCCTAAGCGAAGGAAATGACTGGGAGGGCTCCTCGTGGGTCCGATCATGAAAGCTTTTCTCATCCAAGGGAACTAATATTGCTTAAAAAAAAACCTGACAACTTTAATGTGTGCTAGTGACTGCTATGTGAAAATAATTAAACACCTTTACACGGATGTGTGTGAATACACATACATGTATATTTACATTGCTCTAGGTTGTGTGTGTAGTAATTCTTCAAGTAGTATAGTTGATATTTGTGCATTTTACTGGATGTAAACTCTTCCTCAAACAATTTGAAAAGGGAATGAAAGCCTAGGAGTCAGAAGGGACATTGGCATCGTGCTAACAGTAGGCCAGGCCGAGACAATAATAGGTGCTTTCCCCCTATTATTGAGGACACAGCTCTAAAAATAATGGTTCTTAAAGAGAAGTTAATTTGGGATCATGTAATGACCGTTACAAAGCATAAGTACTCAGTCAGATCAATTTAGTGATTCAACTCTAAACATCAGTATCCAGGNGTTCTTAAAGAGAAGTTAATTTGGGATCATGTAATGACCGTTACAAAGCATAAGTACTCAGATCAATTTAGTGATTCAACTCTAAACATCAGTATCCAGGCATCAGAGAATTCAGTGTTTCTATTCAGAGTGAAATCTTTTCAATACCTTAAAGCAGGTATCCCAGTATTTTGGTTATAATCCTAAAGATTACAGGGAAACTGTTTTGCTGGACAGGAAGGAATTACGTCTCAGTAACCGCGGTGCATCTGCTGACTTCTGCATTTTATGTGGTGCCCTGGGTCGCTCTGGAGGCCAGGCTGGGACTAGTGTGGGATTCCGGGCCCCAGATGCTGCCTCAACCAGAACAGCTCTGTTTATTTTTTCATATATTGGCTCTCAAATTAAGATTTTCTTTGGAAAAAAGAAAAAGGGCCGCAATCGAAATGTTTGAAAGCCCCTAGTCTACAAACTGTTCACCCCTTTGCAGAATGCATTGCATATCTGCCGGCCGGGCCCGTGCATGCCTTCCTTACCAACCTGCACCTGAATTTCTCCTGATTTCTCATGTGCAAGGGCCCTGAGGCCTGTCATACCTGTATGTGTCTGCGTGCTGGGAAAAGGAGGGTGGAAGGGCTCGGGGGGCGGGTCCCTGCTCTACTGTGTGAATTATATGTAATGTCCTGTGGAGACAGGTGGCCCTGAAAACTCGAAGACGTTTTATTCTCATTCATCAAGTGCCCGATGTGAGTCCGGTTGCTTGAGTTTAATATTTCTTGGCATTTTCATCCTACGTGTCTTGGTCAACCTCCAAATTATCTCCTCAGTTTCTTACTCTGCCTAAGAAGAAAGATGTCTGTAACCTGCTGGCTTACCACCACCAGTGACTGTTTCTAAGCGTTATTTGTGTAACTGACTTCTCACTGTGCATCGACTTCATTGGAGTATTATTTCTGGGAGGGCCAGGACCTGTTTCTCTCGGTCACTGTCCTGCCTTAGAGCCTAGAGCAATGTGAGGGCATGTTCATGACAAAGAGGTCTTAGGATGTGAGTGATTGGAAGCAACGTGTATTTAACGGTCGAGTTAGGTTGAATTTTGTCCAGAATCACAATGGGCAGATTTGAGAGGTCGATAGAAATCCTGAACCTTTCCTGATTACCATGAGAGGGAGAAACGGGGGGCCTGGCACTTGGTAAAGCGGGAGGGATAGTAACCGTGTTCTGTGTGTGTTTCAAGGTAGTGGACCTGCTGGTGTCCATGTGCAGATCTGCGCTGGAGTCTCCTAGGAAGGTTGTCATCTTCGAGCCGTATCCTTCTGTGGTGGATCCTAACGACCCCCAGATGCTGGCCTTCAACCCCAGGGTAAGTGGGTCCCGTGGCCCTCCCATTGATCGCGTTTCCTGCAGCAACAACTGAGAATTTAGCCTCATGAGCGTCCCCCTTTCTGTCTGAGTGGCTGTGTCATTGGGCACATGCGTAACTCTCACGGACTCCCTGTCCATTTGGTTAATATGATTCTTCTGCTAACTGGTTTGCTTCTGGGTCCATCTTCACGTGTCCGGTCACTTCCCCTGGCCTTTCTCCTTCAAAACCGTTCTCAGAACTTCGTCTTCATGAAACTAGACCCATCGGTGCTCTCACGTTCTGGTCTGTACACACCCGCCTGCGTGGAAGGTGGGTGGAGAGCTGTAACCACTGGTCAGTAAGGATAGTGGTCAATATCATGATTTCACTTCCATCACATGGTTTGAGATTCTGACTCATGTAACTGCTTGTAAGAATCATGTATAAAAAGGACAAGTTTCCCTTTTTCTGTTATATTTTCAGTCATAGTTCCTTGCCCCTCTCCCACCCCTCCAGTTATCTGAAGGTTAGTGATCAATTCATAGTGTCGATTAACCAGCATTTCTTGAGAAAACACCTTTATAAATATTAATGGACATTAGGCAGAATCCTCCTGAAATAGCAAAAATTTCAAATTGCGTGACAACTAAAATTGCCTTAATTTCTGTTACTGTTAATAGAGACAATGGCCACGTAAAATTTCCTTGGAAAAACTTTCCATCCTGGGAAGCGGCACAGGGCACACCTTACACATTTGCATCCCCTTAAAAATGGGTTATCAATTGAGCATTCGGTCTTATTTACACACCTGTCGGTCATCCTCTTTGGGCAACAGTCTTCCGATCAAATGGAAATACAAGCAGAATGAAAATGTAAGCCTTCGAGTGGGTTTTTGTACTTTAGGAGGATTTTATACTTACTGTATTCATCGCGCCTTAATTTTTTAGCGTGAAGGCAGAATCGGGACCCAGCACCTTTTTTGTGTTGACAGTTTCTGCCCTGTGGGCTGGGCATGGCTAGATGGGCTTTATTGGGACTGGCGTGGTTTTCTCCTGTTCTTCCCTCTGCCTCGGTTATAAACCCTGCATCCCTGACCCATCTGAGTCAAGTCTTCCCTTTACGTGCCCAGCACTGCCTTTGCTTTCCAATGGACCCTGAAGGAAAATTCATGCACAGAAACCCTATGTTTCTCCAGCCGCCTGCAGACTTGCAAAAATACTGCATTGTGTGTTTTTTTCATTCGAACAGAAGAAGAATTACGATCGAGTGATGAAGGCACTGGACAGCATAACTTCGATTAGAGAAATGACGCAAGTAAGTACATCATTGGTGGCCTCGGACAGTCCCGTTTTGCTCGAGTAAACGTATTTGGAAAATGTCTGAGGGTGCCAGCCACGCAGTGAAACGCAGGTTTTTCTATTATATGGGAATATAATTACAGTCATGGGAACACTAAGGTGGAGCTGTACTGAGATGCTTTCATTAAATGACACGGTGCGTTGGCAGGCCACCACCGCTGGAGCGTGCAGAGGCGCGTAGGGATATCCTGAGGCAAAGGTTAAACATGTCACCCTCTTCCTAGACTGTCAATTTTAATTAGTGGTAATAATTTCAAAACATCATTTTAATGTTGAATTAAAAACAGACATATTATCAAATTTAAATTGTACGTAAATATTTTAGATATAATACAGAATGTCTGAACCACTTTGGAAGACACCAGACTCCCTGAGGGTGTGAGTTTGTGCCGTGGCCTTCGGGGGAGAGGCTTTGGCGGGAAAGTGCGATGAGCGAGGATCGGGGTTCATGGTGAAGGTCGGGCATGTCCCGAGGCTGTATCCGGGCCGCTTGGAAAAGCACGTGCTCCTGAATGATTGGGCCTTGCCCCTGACAGAGGTTAGGAGAGAGGGTTAAACTCCTCATTTCAAACAGAGCCGAGCCGCCTCCGTGGACAGCAGCGCACACCATGGTTCCGTTTGCAGATGGGGCCACAGCTTGCTCCCCGAGACGCAGGCAGGCCGCCCGTTGGGGTGCTGGTACCCGGCTCGCGTCCCCTCTGGGGAGGGAGTCGAGGCTTCGCCTGTGTCCCGAGGAGACAGGCTGTTGCTCCGCTCCCAGCCGCCCCGCCAGCCCCTGGACTCTGAAAATGTGCCTCCGACGTGCGTCTTTACGTTCCCCGCCTGACTCCCGAGGCCTTTGATAGTTATTCACGCCGCCCGACGTCCACTCACCACCAGCCTGTGTCCGGCGTGGGGAGCGAGCCTTGTTCCCGGGGCGCGTTATTTGCTTCGTGGACACCCTCCCGTGTCGCTCCGCCGGGCCCGCACCGTCCTGTGTCGTGTGAATTCTTTTCAGACAAACATATTTGTGGAAGGAAAGGAAGCAGTAAGATGCGTTTCCACTTAGGGGAAAAAGAGAACCTGCTGCAGGGTTTCACTTCCTGCTACATGAGCATTTTTAGTCACCGGAGACTCGGGCGCAGGGTATTTATACTGTGCCCCGGACCCTGTCATCCTTGGATCTAAAAATAGCCGCTGGCTCTGGCTCGGGGTCAGCTCTCTGGCGGCACCGGCTTCCTTTATTCTGGGTCATTGGCGGCGGAGGGGACAGCTGAGCGTCGGCGGGGAAGTTGGAGGCCGGCTCCGTTGAAGCAGCTCATCAGTGATGTGGCCTGTGGCCTCGGGCAGCCGCCCCATCACCCGATGCCTCCGTTTCTTCGCTGTCAGGACTGTGAACATACCTGCACCCTCTCTCCTCGCCACCTCATCCGGGTGCTGTCAGGCTGCCCTGTGTCATTCTTCCCACCTCTCCCAATAAACGTCACATTACACCGTCCTGTTTCCCAGAGTGGACTGCCCTGTAGATAGGCCCACAGTGTCACAGGCAGGTGGCCCTCGGTTCTGTGAAAAGGTGAACGCCACTAAATACATTTTAGAGAAGGGCTCTCGTTAGGTAAATTTTGTCCATTTTTTTTCATGCAAAGATCTGCACCTATGACGATACTTCACGTAGGAGCACGAGTAGTAGCTATTGCAGGTTCTGCCTCAATGTTAGTTAAAAGTTAAAAGCAGTCACTGTCCAAGAGGAGCTGAGCTCTCCTCCAGCTGAGACAGAGTGACTGACCTTTTTAAAGAGAACGGAGAGGGAAGAAAAGGGGCAGTGGAGACGTGGAAACAGGGCTGCGGGGATTTGGAAGTCACAGGAGGGGCGAGTGGAGGGTCGGTGAAAAGTTAGGCCATGGGGCCGGTGTAGGCCACCTCCTGTGGTTTGGCAGCGTTGGGTGTCATGAGCAAGGACTCAGCAGGGGCCTGGGTCACGCACGGAGCCGGGCAAAGACTTTTAGCAGGTGCAGGTACGTGCGTGAGCCTCAGGAAGTTCAGACTCTCATCATCTGGGGGGGGGGG